ATCACACAGGGTAGAAAAACACTGACCTACTGTATCTCCTTGGCACATTTCAGAGAGATTTTAACCTGGCAGCGATTTGAAAGGTCTTCCAGTTTGTGTTTCTTCAAACCCCCATTCTAGACTGAGGTTTCCTGGTTGTCTCCTCTCCAAATGTTAACTAGATCTGACCCTGTTTAGCTTTTTCAAGACCGTTTCTGGCTGCCGTTTCCTGCAGCGATGCAACGTACACAGACTGGGAAGCCCTGATGAACATCAAAACTGCAGAATTTGGGGCTAAGTTAGTATGGAATTAATGGTTTTAACCCCAAAATGGGTAAACCCAATGTAGACGTGGGCCATTCATCTACATTCATCACTCCTGAGTATGTAATAAGGGGTTTTTTCAGAGTTAAGGCACACTTCCTTTCACACCAGGGCTACCAGATCTGTGTCACAGGTGACCACGAGAGAGGGTGAATTGTCTGTCTGTCTGTATGCTTATTTACTAATTAAATAAATAATGGCTGTGGAGTTAGGGATATCTCCTTGCTGCCCTTTAGAGATTGTCCAGATCCACAGCTCAGCTCTGATAGTCCTACTCCACGTTCCTGTCCATTGTATGAGGAAGCACTCTTCATTTAGCCTGAGAAATGTGCGAGAGAAGAAAAATCTGTGCTCTAGGAAACTGTGGTTTTTGTGGCTCTTATGCACACTCAATATATTGAGGCCCATTTTCTTGTGGGTAGAAAGTGCTGTTCCTTCTCCTTTGAGGGCACCAGAATATATACATGTTATTTGTCACTTAGGATCGCCATAGCCAGTTCTAGACTATGAAAAATGTCAGGTTTTTATTTATTAAATTTGTGCACTGCCTGGCTTCCAGAGACTCTTAATTTAAAGGGGTTTTCTCTCTTCTATGAAATCCTCACTTGCAGAAAAGGAAATCCTTTCTTTTAAATAGAAATCATCATTGTCTTTTAAGCAGGAATAAGGTTACAGGAAGAGGCAAAACTATTTTTATTCTGATAGTTCTGTTGAGGAACTTGAACAGTTTAAGAAAGTGCTCTTTTTTTTCCTCTCCAGAAAAATAGCTCAGTCTAAAAACTCTGAATGGTTTTTGGTCCACAGATTGCTCCCAGCTGCCGGTTGAGCGGGACCATGCTGGATGTTGTCGACAATTGCTCCATGCTATATAGGCTTGAATTAGAAGGTAAAAAAATGGGTTTTCATGCCTATATTATCTAGATGTCTTCCAGAAGAGATCAGTTCCATTTCAAACCCTCACCTTTATTCACAGGGGTGAAGGTGGGCAATAGATGGAAAGAAGTAAACCAGCTGACGAAGAAACATGCCCATGACCACATCCTGATCTTCAACGATGCCCATATTCTGATGGCCTCCTTAGGTGCTCAAGATCAAAACACTTCCAGTGAGCTTCTGACCACTTTGCAGGACTTGGCCCAGTAAGTGACCCATAGTCCTAACAACAGATGCCCTCGTCCTACCTGTGAGGTTCTCTAGGGCTTCATGTGGGGTATTTCCAATGAGCTCCATTCATCAAGTCAATAGAGGGGGTGTTTTGACTTTCCAGACCAGCCTGCAAATGTGGGTTGTTGTTCCCGTCCAGGAACTAACCAGGTTTATTGCTGAGCTTTTGGAGATCAACCCAACTCAGTTGTCTGCTGTGATCTTAGTCAAGGGGTCAGTCCATACCAAAACTCTTAGGAGCAACATTTCCCTCTCGGATGGAAAATAACAAGAATCAGACTTGACCTTCATAAAAGTTCACTCTCGGTTCTTATTCCAGTTGTGCAGGTGGTTGGATTGTCAGCTGTTCTCTCTAAACTGATGTTTGTACTTTTATGAATGACTTCTCTTCTGGATTCTTTTAAGTTTAAAATATATTAATTACTTAAGTACAATTGCTTAAATACTCTTTAAATTGGTATGGGTTACTTAAATAATTAAGGTAATGAAATAATGAATAGAAATAAAATAATTAATTAATGGAAGTAAAAATCAGTCATCGTCTGGTGTAAGGGCCTTGGATCATAGACCTTCCTAGCTGAAGTCTAATCTGATCTTTTTACTGCAACTAAATCAGTTTTAGTCTCAACATAGGAGCACAGGACTGAGGAGCGAGTGGAAATTAATATTAAATTCCCATCCAAACAGTGCACAAGCGGGAACTTTACTTGTCTATTGCAGTGCAGACAGCAACATACAGATATATACTATATTTATACATACATACATATATACACACACATATATACACACACACACACACACACAAACGCACCCATACAGGCGTACATATATATATATACCTACTCTGTTCCCTTTTGGTCTAAGTAAATATTGTGTAGAGCACAGAAAAAGAGAATGAGATACTTAGCCATAGATAGTGAAGGTGGGAAATTTGCACAAGAACAACAAACATTGCTGAAACTGATGTTTTATTTCATCACCACTCACTCTACCCCCTCCATACCTTTCTCTCTTTTCAAACTAAGCGGGCCAGTAGCCACTCAGTCAGATCCAAGCAGTTGCACCCTTCTGGATCAGAACAAAGATCCTAAATCCACGTAGGAGAGGAAAGGATGAGAGCTAGCAAGGAGGGCAAGAAAATAAAGGTGGGGGGAAGGCTAAATACAACCCACAGATGGGAGAGGCAGCTTATCTTGTGAAAAGCCGCTCAATCCGGTCTGTAACAAAATGGAAAATATGCAAAATGTTCAGATAATCTCTGCTTTAATCAACTTACTAAGAAGCGAGAGCTGGGAGTTCCTACTGCGGTTTCCAAAATTCTCTTTCTTCCTCCTGATTCTTGCCTTAAAGCTCCTGTTTGAAATCGTGCGATTCTTGCTTTCTTGATCATGCCCTGCGGGATGGGGCTTGGCCAGGGGGCTTAAAGAAGAATAAGTGGCTTTTGTGGTGACTGAGTACCAGAGAAGCAAACCGGGGTCATTTTCTCAAGAGTGTGTTCATCTGACATCTTCAGCGGTATTTTAGGACAAGCGTTCTCCTGAAGATGCTGTAATGCTTCGGAAGAGAGCGTCCATCTGAACTGCAATTGAGTGGCACGTTTGACCCCGTAGCATTTATTCTCCACAAATCTCAAAAAGGGCTACAGCAGATCTAGAAACTCCCAGCTCCACCTCATATATTAGCCTCTGATCAAATCTGCGAAACAGATTTCTTATTTTCCTGCTATTGTAAGACTCTCTGGTGTTTGTGTTGAGGCTAAAATGGCAACCCCCCTGTGATCAACACAATCACGTCTGTGTGATTGTAGCTGCCATCTTGACTTTTTTGACCCCCTCTCTGGCAGATAACCTGGCAGTTGCTGTTTAAGTGTCCATAAGACGACCGCCTCCATCCGTAATGGTTGATCATTCATGACCATAGTTTTTCGTAAAAAATAATACTAGGTTATTGAGCTCTCCCTTCTGAGGTCTGTAATGAGATGGGTCAGCTGCTGTTGCTTTTTGGTTTGTGCAGCTACTTATGAGCTCAAAATGCTGTTGGGATTGAGCATGGTTGCCCATAAAAATATTAATTCAGTCTTACTCTGCCGAACCAAATGAATGCTGCCTACCAACCGGGCAAGAGAATTCAGGCCATGCAATGGGGTCACTGGAAGCAGAAGAGGCCACTGACCTCCTTCCATCAGCAGGGACATCTTGCTGGTTTGGTCAGATCTTTGCTCTGGACTTTGTTTGGACTACCTGGCCTTGCAATGTCAGCAGTAAATGTGTCAACTGAGTGCTATTAATTGCTTAATTCTATGTGGCCACTTCCATCTGGTTTTCTTTGCTAGGACTCCTAAGGAAGATCACGAGCTGAGCCTGGTTCCAAAATTGGGGCTGCCCCTTCTGCAAGCATTTGTGGAGTTTGACAAAGGACATTACGACAAGGCAGTGGAACTCCTGTATCCCATTCGATATCAGATTGTGGAAATAGGAGGGAGTAATGCCCAGGTGAGAAGACAGCGGGGCTTTGCTGGTTTTTTCATAAGCGTTTTGTTCCTTTGTCCTGTTAGGGGTGGGGGACCTCCGGGAGGAATGTCCTAAATACATACACACACATACAAATGCTATTGTCAAGAGTGACTGAGATGCACGATGGATCCATAGCTTAACTTTGGAAACTCAGTTAGTTAAAAACCAAGAATCATTGCAATGAAATGTCAGATGGGTCCCTTGACTCTGGTTCCAGGAGACTCCACTTCAAAGGCTGAGCCGTGTGCAGGATGGGAGACATTCAGCTGGCTGGTGGAACTTGAGCACCCATTTCATGATCTCCTTAAAACCTATCTGGGGTCTTAGAAGGACCTTGGCTTGCTCCTTCTCTGGATTGTTAATTCTGAGTTTCCATCTTTGGCTTCAGCTTCCCTGAAGCCCTGATTTTGTCTCTTTCACACAGGAATTGTGGTTGCCAGTCATCTCCTATGTGGGAAGGGTGTTCAGCCTTGGGGGCCATTCTGCTTCCTTGTTTCTCTTTCCTCAAATGTTGGGCTTCTGTGGAGGACCCTGCCCAGAATGACCTCTGCATGTTGATCATTATTAGCTACATTGGCTTTTAAAAGAAAAAGAGAGTGCTCATTCAGTAAGTAAAACAGAATTCATTGAAGCAAAGAGAGAGCGCTACTTAATCGGTTGGTTGATTATAACCGAAAGCAGGGGTATCCATGGGGGAATCAAGAAGGTCAAGATGGTGGCGGCAACCATGTGATCAAAACCCCACCTCTTTCTTGCGTGTACAACGGAGGTAAAAAAAGGGGTGGGCTTTGAGCATGCAATCATGGCCAACATCTTGAGTTTCTCGACCTTCCCCTGCAGATGCTCCCAGTCAAAGACTCTGTTTTGAGGATTGAGGATTTACCAACCTGAGTAGCAAGCACATATGTAATTCAGCCTGAGCACCATGTTCCACCTTGGAGTATTTCCTTAAAACCTATAGCAGCAGCCCTGGATTGAAAAATAAGGAAGGGACGATATTGCCTATGTTTAATTCTGGAAAAGCGGACACCCCTTTCCTTTCTAGGTCCATATTGGCTCATCTCTCCATGGAAGTGGGCCGCAAACTTTCTCTGCATTTACACTGAATCGGTCCCAGCTGCTGGCCCTGCAGTTGTCTTGCTAGGAATGAATAACGTCTGTTCTACTTTTCCTTCTCTTCCAGAGAGATATTTTTGCCCAGTTACTGATTCAGGCTGCTTTAAACTGTAAATCTAAAGCTAACCAAAGACTTGCTAGGTAAGTACAAAATGTGCCAGATTCTGGATTTTACTTGGTTGAAAGTTAGTGATGAACATAGAGGTGAATCATGGCTATTCAATGTTTCTCAACCTTGGGAACGTTAAGATGTGTGGACTTCAACTCCCAGAATTCCCCAGCCAGCCAAGTCCACACATCTTAACGTTCCCAAGGTTGAGAAACATTGCTATAATCAGTAAGAAGGGGAAATGCAGTTTTTGACTGTCTCATGATGGCATGGTCTGCAGTCACCAATTAGCAAAGAAGAAAATCATCTTTAGAGGAAAAGCAAACATTTGTTATTATTTGGAAGAAGGTGGAGAACTTTCCCTTTTATTGCAAATGCCTACAGTTCACTACCGACTCCCGCATTTATTGGAGATGTGCAGAGAATGTTGATTAGCCCATCCCTGCTATTAACAAACTTTCAGAGCAGGTGTAACTGCCCAGAAATGCAATATAAACCATTTTGGTGTTTACAAAAAAAGGCGACAGCTACCTCGAGCTCAGCTTGAGGCTTGGTGACTACCTGGACACGTCTTGTTTTCTTAGCAGCAAGACTGAAATATTTTGCCTTTATCTCCCTCTCTCGGGATGTTTTTCTGACTTCTGAATCTAGTCCACCGATGTGGGATTTTCTGGTGGGGCTCACCGGATCTGATCCTGTTTAGCTGTTTCAAGATTAACTACTGTGTAGCTCTGCTTTGTAGGTTTTATTTAGTCTGGGTCCCTGACCTGAAATAAGGAATTTGATTTGGTTAAGCAGGAATAGTAGGCGCTGTCATTTGTTAGTTCTTTTGAAGGTGTGAGAAGGTGATTTGGCTGAAAAATTAAAATGAGTTTTGAAAAACTCTCCAATGACGGATACTTGTATTGAACTCTCGTTGTAATTGATTAGCTGAATTAGTAGTGTTTATCCCCATTGATTAGTTTCTTCGTGGAATCAGAGTCGTCATGCACCTTAGATATCCTTTAGTCCAGGGTTCCTCAACCTCAGCAACTTTAAGATGGGTGGACTTCAACTTCCCATGCTGGCTGGGGAATTCTGGGAGGTGGAGTCTACCCATCTTAAAGTTGCTGAGGTTGAGGAACCCTGGACTAAAGGATATCTCCCTCTCTCGGGATGTTTTTCTGACTTCTGAATCTAGTCCACTAGATATCCTTTAGTCCAGGGTTCCTCAACCTCAGCAACTTTAAGATGGGTGGACTTCAACTTCCCATGCTGGCTGGGGAATTCTGGGAGTTGGAGTCTACCCATCTTAAAGTTGCTGAGGTTGAGGAACCCTGCTTTGGTCCAACCACCTGCTTAGCCAGGATCCACTACAGCATCTCTGACAGGTGACCATCCAGTCTCTCCTTGAAGACCTCTCCAGCAAAGGGGAACTCACCACACTATGCTATGGAACAGCCTCCTATGGAGGTTTTGGGTTCTCCTCTCAAGGATGGCTTCATCGGTTTTCCTGCAGGGGGTTGGAGTAGATCAGTGTGTCTCAACCTCAGCAACTTTAAGATGGGTGGACTTTAGCTGGGGAATTCTGGGAGTTGAAGTCCACACATCTTAAAGTTGAGACGAGAAACACTGGACTAGATGACTCACGTGATTCCTGCCAAGGGTATAATTCTACGCCTACCCTGAGATGCCTGCAAAGAAAGCTGTACTTCTTTTAACATAACCATTTCAGGTCTTATTTGAGAGATCTAGATGATGCTTTGGATGTTAAAGAGCTCTTCACTTCTGTTCAAGATAAAATGCTTCAAGAGCATTGTCCCTTTGTTTTTTAGATGCCTCCTTATGGAACGCGATGAACTCAGACCAAATTCACCATTAACTGAGCGACTGATGCGGAAAACAGTAGCTGTTCACGCCCTGGGATAAACCCAATATCATGTACAAGTTTCAAGTCAAGGAGATAGTTGGTGTCCAGACTTGCATAAATCCAAAATTAACAGTCCTAGGAAAGTAGTATTTTGGAGATTTACCCTTGCTTAATTTTGTCTGATCTTGATCTTGCCCGCTTAGTTTAAATGTTGGTTGTTTCTGTACATCTCTACAGAAGCAAAATGCAGCCAGATACAGCTCACTTTCTGTTGGCAATGCTAATTTACAAATACTATTAAAAAATCAGTGGGGTACAGTTAAATGCTTGTGGTCTGCAGAGCCATAAGCCAAACTTTTGATTGTTTGGAAAGTACAAATTTATTGCCTGTTTTAAATTCTGGATGTCAAATGTATACACGCACATAAACATTTTATGTAATAAATGAGTCAGTGTGGAGCATCATCAAAAGCTGTTCTGCTATATTTTGATATACAGTGGAACCTCGGGTTAACGAACGCCTCTGTTAACGAACTTTTCGGGTTACGACCAGCTCCGGCCGCAAAAATTTACC